GGCTGCTGCTTCGCGTCGTATTTGGCGATTTCCATCGGTTCGGCGAACGTGGGGGGTGCCGATCGCTCCGGCCCAAATGTACGGTTTGGCCCGTAGCGTCGTGTGTCGGGTTGACCTCGCGTCAACGCGTCGTACCTTTCAGCTGCCCGTACGATGTCGCGGTAGCTACTGTAGTTCGTCGAAATCACCTGCCGTCGAATCTCCATTTTTAATCGTTCGGTGTACGCTTGGATTTTTTCGCCTTCGGTCAGGTCAGTGATTCGGTTGAACAGTAATTCCATCTGCTGCGTGTACTGTGCTACGCTGCCGTACTGTTTGTGTCGGTGAATCTGCTGCCGCGCCATGTAGACTGAGTTGATTGGTTCGAAGCGTTCGATAAGATCCGCCCGAAACTGCTACCACGTTTTCTCCCCGCGGGCCACGTCAGTGTAATATATCCACTCGAGTGCTGGTCCCCGCAACAGTGTCGCTGCGAGCCGAATCCGTGCTGCGTCGTGTGTCGGGGTCGAACAGCCAATGGCCTCGAAATAAATTTCGAGGGTCGCCACAAAACGTCGAACGTCAGATCCTTTCGCGCTTGGATCGAACGCTTCGGGGAGCCTCGGGCGAGCTGCTTCGAGGTTCGGCGTCGGTGGTGCCATCGGTCCGTGAAAAGTCGGTGTCGCTACCGCTGCTGCTGCTGTCGCTGCTACGTTCGCTGCTGCATTGACTGCTGCGGTGGTGGCTGCGGATTGGTTTGTCAGAAGGGCCTCGAGTCGCCGAATCGCCGCCTGCGTCTGTTCCATGTCGATGCAAAGGCTGGCGATGTCGCTCGTCGTCGCGTAGTTGTCGCCTTGACCCTCCATGCCTGACATTGCGCGTTCGGAAAAACCGAAACGAGGAGGAGCGAAAAACATGGTATTGGTTTCACGTACCCAAAATCGGTGTTTATCAGCGTCGCCCCCGCGGTTTTTGAAGACTCGGTTTTAGCGGTTGAAAAACGGTCGCGTGTAAACAGGCTCTGATTACCAAGTGTGAGGATCTAGGATCGAGCTCAGAAAAGAGAGTTTGAATTGAATGAATCACCTGGGTACAACACGAGGCTATATATAGCCTCGACACAAGGCCCAGTAACCAGGTGTTACGCGAAGGTTCTGAGGGTCGCGAAGCGTCCCGAACAGACCCTTCCCGAATTCGGTACAAGGCAATTCGGTGGCAACCGAAAAGCCCAGAATTCGGTGTACGCAACCTAGCTCGGTGCTATAACTATAATAAAATATAGAAGAGCACCTAGCCTAGTAAATCAAGCAATTCATGCATGCATAAAATAATCCTATGCTGGAAATAGCATAATAAAGTAAAGGCAAGCAAGCATAGCTGGCATAAGCCGTCGTACTCTCACATGGAGGTGCTGGAGCTACTGGTGCTGGAGGTGCTGGAGCTGCTAGTGCTGGAGGTGCTGGAGCTGGAGGTGCTGCTTGTGGTGGAGGTGCTGGAGGTGCTGGAGCTGGAGGTGCTGGAGGTGCTGGAGCTGCTGGTACTAGAGGTACTGGAACTGAGGGTGCTGGAGGTGCTGGTACTGTGAGTACTGCGCAGCGGCGACCGTTTTTCTTGCCGCAATCGCAGTCGTCTCTACCACCTGCTGGCTCGGCCCTTCACCAGGTTCTTAGTCTTCCGTCTTCCACTGGCCTCACTCCGCCTCTCCTGTGTCCACCGTCTGACCCGTCTCAGAAACAGTTGCCGCCTGGCTCCGCACTACCTGCTCCTTCTCCCTACACTGAGCTGCCAGAATCCCTGACTGAGCGTCGTGAGCCTGAGTCTCGTACTTCCACGCCTGTTCGTGCCCGTCGTGTTGCTCGTCCTCGTGCTCCGGCTGTCCTAGGCACTCACCTTATGGCACTCTGTCCTTCCTCTGTTCCTCAGCGTGTTGTCCTGCCGTCACCTCCTGCGTCTTCTCTTCCTCACGTTCCTAACCCTGAGACTGACCTTGTTCGTGCTGCCAGTCCGACTGTCACCCAGTTTCTTGCCACGTGTGTGACAGACCCTTTTGTTTTCGTCTCCTGCTACGGATGCCTTAGTAGCTGAGCTTGTTGACTTTGCTGCTATGTGCCGTCTTGAATACGATGCGTGTCTTGTTTTTGGCTCTTACTGTCCTCCGTCTGTCGGGGGTGAGACTGCCCTTGGCTGTGACGTTCTTGAGGACAGACAGTTTGAGCTTGAGCACCTAGCAGCTGCTGCACCTCATCTCGCTGCCATGCTTCTTTGCCCTGAGGGAGACCCAGATGCACTGGACATCCCCACCCCACGCACTTAAGTAGAGGCGATCTCGGGTGAGTATTCCTCTCAGTGGCAAACAGCCATAGACGTAGAGATGGCTTCCTGAAAGTCCACAGGCACCTACGTCGACAAGGTTCCCCCTCCTGGGGCGAACATAGTCGATGGCATGTGGATTTTCACAGTGAAGAGGCCGCCGGGTTCTCCGCCTGCCTTCAAGGCGCGGTACGTTGCTCGAGGCTTCAGTCAGCGTCAGGGGGTCGACTTCTTTCATACCTTCTCCCCTACCCCGAAGATGACGACTCTTCGAATGTTGCTGCACGTCGCAGCACACCGTGACTACGAGCCGCACTCCCTCGACTTCTCGACAGCCTTCTTGCAGGGTAGCCTTCACGAGGCCATCTGGCTGCGCCGCCCACCTGGCTTCACTAGGTCGTTTCCTGAGGGTACCCAGTGGAGCCTACGGCGGCCAGTCCACGGCATGCGTCAGGCACCCCGCGATTGGCACGACACACTGAGGACGACACTTGCGGCTCTTGGTTTCGCCCCCTCGACTGCTGACCCGTCGCTGTTTCTGCGCACTGACACTTCTCGGCCGGCGTTCTACATCCTTGTGTACGTCGACGACTTGGTCTTTGCTACTGCTGACACTGAGGCACTGACCCTTGTGAAGTCGGAGCTGCAGAAGAGACACACTTGCACTGACCTGGGTGAGCTGTGCAGCTATCTTGGCTTGCAAATCACTCGGGACAGAGCAAGGCGCACCATCACGTTGACTCAATCCCACATGGTGCAGCAGGTCCTTCAGCGCTTCGACTTCAGCTTCTCCTCGCCACAGCCCACTCCTCTGCCTACAGGTTACTCGCTCTCAGCTCCACCTTCGGACGAGTCCGTAGAGCCGAGTGGTCCGTATCCAGAGCTTGTGGGTTGCCTCATGTACCTGATGACGTGAACACGACCTGACCTCGCGTACCCTCTCAGCCTACTGGCTCGCTACGTGGCTCCCGGTAGTCGCCGGAAGGTGCACTGGGAAGCTGCTAAGAGGGTAATGCGTTACTTGTGCAGTACATCGGGCATGGGGCTTATGCTTGGAGGGCGGGACTCAGTGGTACTCACAGGTCACTCAGACGCTTCCTGGGCAGACGACCAGGCGACTTAGCGGTCGTCACAGGGTTACACCTTCAGTCTCGGCTCTGGTTCTGTCTCGTGGAGGTCCACTCGCTCGTCTTCTGTGCTTGGTTCCAGCTGTGAGGCCGAGATCTACACTGGGGCTATGGCTGCACAGGAGCTACGCTGGCTGACCTACCTGCTGACCGACTTGGGGGAGCGGCCTCGTTCTCCTCCAGTTCTGTACGTCGACAACAAGGCCATGCTTGCCTTATGTCACGAGTAGAGACTGGAGCACAGAACGAAGCACATTGCTCTTCGCTACTTTCTTGCCCGAGAGCTGCAGCAGCGTGGTCAGCTTCGCATTTCCTACGTGGCCTCTCGGGCCAACACTGCTGATGTCTTCACCAAGGCCCTTGGGTCTGGTGATCATCAGCGTTTCTGCACTGCTCTTGGGCTTCTGCCCACTCTGCCTCACCTGCTTGTCTCTTGATCTTGCACTTGTTGTACCCTGATATATATGCTTATACCTGCATGTTTTCACTTGCTAGGTTGTGATCAGTGTACTGCCTTACTATTATAACTCTGCTTGTGACCTGTCCTTGTGGCCGCTTGCTTGTGCTCGGATTGTGTGGTGATCTTGAGATCCACCTTGAGTTTTGCTTTGCTTTGCTCTGTTGCTTGACTGTTCTTGTGACCGTCTTGCTGTCCCCCACTTAGCCTATGGGGGTGTGTCAAAGTACAATTCTGCTTGTTAGGCTAAAGTGGAGCACTCCTTATGGGATACAACACATTTTTAGGTTTAGTATTTGTACCACATCCTTGCCTAGTTCAATCATTCCTGCACAGTTATTTCTGATACTACTGACAAGAGTGCATAGTCCTTTCACAATTTACTATTCGTAACTCACCCAACAGTATTCCGTTACCACCACTCGACACTCGCCTCGATACTGTTCCCACCATCACGACCATCGCGCCCAAACCACCCGGCTCGGCTGGTAATCCGCGGCCCGGGCCTACGCCTCGACATTTCCCAAACCGGGTGCTAGACCCCAGTAGGGCAGTGGGCACCCCTTAGCGAGCGTGTTGCCGTCACTATTTGCTTTCCCTACATATTGAACAATTAGCTTATGCCTTTGCTCATTGTATTTGTATTGCTTCCATAGGGGGATTACTACTACCGTACTGCTTTTCTAAGTTGGGCAAACCAACCCCTGGGGTCCTCTCGGTCAAACCCCTCTCTGCCCAAACCAGCTCGAGCGTTTGGTCAGCGACGTCAATGGGTGAAAAGGTGGTTTGGGGTACTAAGAAATGAATGACGTGGCACCTGCTTGACAGCGCCGAAGGGATACACCTACCCTTTGCACGGTTATGTTACACACCCGTAGGTTCACCAGTGCGAAGTAGAAATCCGCATGGTCGGCCTTCCATTCTCCGGTGTTTTGTTGTGATTGCACCATTACAGGCAGCCCCTAGAGCTAAGGCCCAAGGACCATCAGACACCTCACTTTCCTTGCACCAGTGCACCAGTGTCGATAGCAATAAGCTACTATTCTTAAGCTAGCTGGCATAAGCCTCTCAGTTCGTTGCATATCCGTCCGTCCATCCTTCCAGCCTTGACCACTCCTGCGTCATCAATGGACGATTCGCGCAGCCGCGACACATCACCGCTGCCACCCACCTCTCGGGTCACCATCTGTCGCAATCCGTCGGATCGTACGGCTGCGGCTTGCATCGCGTGTTCGTGCGACATAGATGGGCTGCCAGATGTCGTCTTTCTGAACATCCTCCACCACGTCATCAGCAGCAGCAAAGCCGTCCATGGACCGACGACCGCAATCCATGCAAGCACCGCCCCTCCCTATTCAACAGAGTCGTGCCCTAACGGCATAACCATCACCACTCGCGATCGCAGGGGCTATAAGCAACAGCAGCAGCTGCCATGTAAGGACCCTACATGCACCTGCCGCGGCAACACAGACAGCACCGCCGCCGCCCCCACCCCCCCGCTGCTCACCTGCGCGCTCGTCTCCCGCCGCTGGCTGCGCCTCTCCGCGCTTCTCCCCCGCGCCATCACTGTCCCCCCCGGCCTCCTCTTGCGCCCCCGCGCCCTCCTGCGTACACTCTCCGCCTTCCCCCAACTGCGCTCCGTCACGCTACACGGGGACTCCTGCCGCAGCAACAGCAGCAGCAGCAGAGGGGCCATCAGTGACTGGCTGATCTCTCGCCTGGCAACGCTGCTGCCGCAGCTGACGTCACTGTCGCTCGTTCGCGTTGCAGCAATCCCGAGGCTCTCCCCGTTGGCATCCTCCCTGCTGTGCTTAGAGATTCGCGGCGCAGGGGAGGGGCTCACATGTCTCTCTGAAAAGAGCCTTGGGCGACTGACGTGTCTGCAGGAGCTGGTTGTGAGGGACTGTTTGGCGCTGCGGTGCCTTCCGGCGTCGCTTGCACTGCTGCCGTCGCTGCAGCGGATTAGCGTGGAAGGATGCTATCTCGCCACGCTTCATGCTTGGACGCTCACGGATAGGGATGGCGGTGGGTTGGCGGCTGTGCCTTCTGTGGGAGGGGATGGGGTGCGAGAGGTGGGGGAAGGGCGAAGGAATGACATCAAACGTGATGACGATGCTGATGCGGTTGTTTTGGCGGTATCGGGGGGTGCGAGTGATGGGGAGGATGTGGAGGCAAGCTGTGGGCAGCAACTGCCGCCTGGGTGGCGAAGGCGACAGCGGCGGCAATGGAAGAAACTCCACCTCTGTCAAGACAAGGTTCAGCAGCAGCAGCCGAGTGGTGTCGCCACTGTCACTGCAGCAGCACAGCCACGCCAGCCCCTGTTCTTTTCCAAGCTGCAACACCTGCAGCTTGCTGACGTGCCAGCCCTGCAGCACCTGCCACGTGGCATCCTCCAGCACCACTCACTGAAGCACCTTGTGCTGGACGGCTATTCAGGAGATTACCTGTCTGCTACTTGCAGTGTCAACTCCGAGTCAACCAAGTCAATGCTTGAATCTCCCATCCGCATGCCCAGCCTGCAACATCTGGAGCTGCGCAACCTTCAAAAACTTTCCCAGCTGCCCGACTGCCTGTCCCTGCCTGCCGCCTGCCCGTCCCTCACCATCCTCACCATCCAGAACTGCCCGCGCTTCTCCTCGCCCCTCGCTCCTCCTCCCAGCCTGCACACCTTGAACCTTCACAATCTTCCCAACCTCACATCCATCTGCGACCCACTGCGTGTCCACTGCCCATCGCTCTCTGTCCTCGTTATATACCAATGCGCCAACCTCCATACTGTGCCGTGCTTCCCGTCGCGCAGCCTGTCACACGTGGAGATTCGCAACCTCCCAAACCTCACAGCACTCACAAGCCCGTCCTCGCTCGTCAACCCCTCCGCCTCCTCCCCTCGCCTCTCCATCCTTGCCATCGACAACTGCCCTCTCCTTGCCATACATGCCTCGCCACGCACACCCCTCGCCTTTAACTTTCCACGCCTGAGGGAGCTATGGCTGCACGACCTGCCTCTGCTGCACGAGCTACCGCCCTCCTTCTCCTGCCTCTCCTCCCTGCAGCGCTTGGTCATCACCCGCTGCCATGGGCTCAACTCACTCCCTGCCTGCCTGCCAGAGCTCCCCTTGCTGCGCGATCTCGCCCTCGTGATAAACCACAACCTCACCGTCCCCAGGGATTTCCTGCCGCAGCTGCACTCGGTGCGTCGCCTGGTGGTGCATCGGGGGCGTGAGAACAAGACCATCATCGCACATCACGGGAGGGTGAGGCCAAAGTTTGGGCTGCCCCCGCGCGTGAAAGAGCTGCACACGGATGACTTTGGGAGCGATGTGTTCCGGTTGCATGAGCTGGAGAGACTGGAGGTGAGTGGGGGGTACTTCCCTAAGATGAGTATAAACGAGATTCGGGTTATGGAGGAGGTGATGAAGGTTAGCGGAGAAGGTGGGAGGAGCGATGCAGGGGAAGAGGAGGGCAATGCCGGATTTGATGTGAAGTGTTGGGAGGGCGGGAGACGGCTAGCGTGGGTGACCAGTGCGTTGGAGAGCAAGCAGAGCAACGGTGAGGAGAGCAGCAGCGAGATAGCTGGCAGGAGCAGGAGCAGCACAAGGGAGCATGGGAACAAGCACCTTCTGCCTTGTTTGCAACGCCTGACCCTTGCTAACTGTGTTGTTGGTCCTCGCTTCCCTCCCTGGATGCGCCACCTCACGTCCTTGCGGCACCTCTCTCTCACCCACGTCCACCGATGCACCGACCTTTACTGCCCTGCAGAACAATTCAACGAGGCTCACCAATTGCGGCGCCTGCTCAAAGCGTATCTGCAAGACGAGGAGCATTGGGAGAATCTCACTTCACTGCACCGGGTGGACACATGTGCGTGCTGCCCAATCGTTGTACCTTCAGAGTGGCAGCCTCTTGTGCGTGCCGTTGATGCAGCAGCAGCAGAAACAGCAGCTTGTGGAGGTGATGTGATTCGACGAGCAGGATTTGTGCTTGGAGACTTGGGAGGAACTATTGGTCTATGACCAGCGCATATATCCTCAGAAGCTCTAACTCATAGGTATTGGCTTGGGAAATGTGCAACACCATTGCATTGTGAAATAAATTAACCAAACCCTCAGGTCACAGAAACTTGACGGATCATACAAGAGACAAGAACCCTCTGAAGCTGCCTGCTTCAGTGTAAATCTGCCTGCCAATTCTGTTCATTCAGACTGCTTCATAATCAACCCTGGGGCCAAGACAAATGAGAGGCAGGACTTTGATTCACAGTTACTGTACATGTACACCTTAACGGTCCTGACAGCGACGGAGTGAGAGACCGCCACAAGGGCTTGAAGGAAACTACCGTAGCTAGCATGGGCAACACATGGAGAAGCACGTCATGACACCATTGTTCCCTAAGAAGCAGCAACGCTACAGTGAGACAACAACACCAACAGCAACGCCCCCCTACAAAAACCAGTGCTTTGTTACAAGCACCTTCCACTATACTGTAGCTGTGAGACCTGCCCCCTGTACACATGTGGCGAGCAGCAGCGCACGGCAGGCACACAGTCCCTGGCTGCAGTGCGCCGTAGCACCCAGGCACAGTGTCAGTCACCTTCCCAGTCGGCATCGGGCTCGTCCTTGATCTTGACATCAGCATCCTCTCCGAACTGAATGGCGTTGTCCACCTGCGACAACACGTACTGGATGCTGCCATGCCACACGCATGTGCCAATGCGTCACACACCATTGCACCCCAGCACATGCCATGGCACGGAGATACAGTATGCAGTGGCAAAGATGAGGTAGATAAACGAAAGGGGGAAAGTGGCATGGGGGAGGCAGGAGCAGAATAGCAGAGAGTGGAAGAAGACGAGCTTGAGTCATGATCGATGAAGGACACGAGCGGGCAGGCACGGCCAAGACCACTTGGGGGTTGGTGCAGCGAGGTGACACTGGAAGGCACGTGGAAGGTGTGGGAAAGGCATGGAGAAATTGTGAGGGTTGGGAGTGGGTGGAAGTGTGGGAGTGATAAGTGAAAGAAAGTTGAAGGCTTCAAGCAGGTGAGAGATTTAGCCTGCTGAAAGGGAGGATGTGTGTGTGTGCGTGTGTGTGTGAGAGAGAGAGGGAGATGGCGTGCCTGTCTTCGTCTGAAATGTCAAGCGGAAGGAAGTTGACAAGGCTGTAGTCATCCACCTGCCATGCACAACACACTCACACACACACACACACACACATACCACATGGCGGACATAGGGGGAGAAGCAGTGAGAGACGGACATGAGGAGAGCCACAGAGACAGACAGAGAGACACACACATGGGCAGTGTACATACCCAATCTTCTCACCCAAAAAAATACACTCCTCTCCCTGACCTTCCCGCTCCTTCACTCTCTTCCACCCTCTCACATCCCCTCCGCATCACCCCCACCTTACATCACCGCGTCGGTGCTCCTCTCCTCCCTACCCTTTGTCTCCCTCACAACCCCCTTCATCCAACCCCCCTGGAACCGCATCCCCAGGCGCGAGCACGGACCAGCTGGGCGATGGCGTGGTTGAGGCGGGCAAAGCGCGGCGGCATGGAGCGATCCAGGTCCGCCAGCAGCATGGCCGCCTCTGGCTCCAGGTACCTGTGGTGCAGTGCACAGGGGCGAGGCGGGGGGGGGGGTGGAGGGGGGGGGGGGGGGGGGGGAGTGTAGCAGAGGGCAGGGAGATAGGAGAAGACAGAATGGATAGGGGAGTAAGGCATCAAGTAACGGTGGGAGGCGAAAGAAGGGAACATATATGAATGGGCCGGGGTGAGACACCACAGATAGCATGACACGGCACAGCAGAGAAGACGAGAGCAGCGCAGGGAAGGGCAGGGCAGGGCATGGCGCAAGGAGTCACTTTTCAATGGAGCGTTTGTCGTGCAGGAGGTCGACCTTGGTGAGCACGTTGATGTGTGGCAGCTCCAGCTGCACCATGGCTGACAGCGACGCCAGCATGCCCGCTATGAACTTCGCCTCGTCATTCATGAACTGACGCCCATCACACACACAGTGGGGGGTGGGGGGGAGAGGGGGGTGCGGAGAGGGGGTGGCACAGGGACGAGGGAGGGACATTGAGAAAGAGGAGGCATTAGGGAGGTGTCTCGGATCGTGCGAGAGAGTGCAGCAGGGAATTGCACCACCGATGTGTGGTGCATCCGTGGCGGGGAGCTGGCACACGCACTGCTACGGCCCTCCTTCACCTGCTCCACCTTCGCATGCCCAACCCACCAGCACCCTGCCCCCCTCTGCCAAGCACATTTGCACCCCCTCTGCCAAGCACATTAGCACCCCCTCTGCCAAGCACATTTGCACCCCCTCTGCCTTGTGCCACGACGACACTGCCTGTCCTGCCTGTTGCATGTGCTGCTGCTGTGATGGGGTGTGAGCTAGCTGCACTGCATGCAGCCGCTTTGCATAGCAGTGCAATCAGTTGACTGCCTGCGATAAATCTCTTGACACCCACCTTCTCGTACCTTTTCAGAGAGCAAAGTACTACTTGAGAGGGAGAGGGAGCGAGAGGCACGGGGCATGGGGGCGGGCAGCAGAGGGCGCACCTGGGAGTCGATGAGGTAGACAGCGCAGATGTGGAAGTCCCAGCGCTTCAGCTGGTCCACAAACGTGCGCAGCACCGGCACGTGCGAGTACAGCTCGATCTGCCCTGCACACCGCACATGGCGCACACGGGGTGGGGGCCCACACCACACAGCAAGGCGACAGGTTGGGGTAGAGGGGGCTGAGCATGTAAGCAGCAGAGGGCGGTATGCATGTGGCAGTGGAATGCATGGAAGGTGTGGCTTACGAGCACGGCAGAACGTGCCATGCTCAGATGCAAGTGAAGTGCGAGAGCATTGCAGTGCAGCATGGCAGGGTACCAGGGCAGTCGAAGACAAGGTAGTCGTCGTCATGGAAGTCGTCCAGCTGCCCCTTCAACCAGTCGTCCAACGACTCCTCCAGGTACCTGCCAGGAGCGGGGGGGGGAGAGAAGAGACAGCGGGGCAGAGAGGGGAGGGGAATGTGTTATAGTGAGGGGAAAGGGAGGGGCGAAGAGGAGAGAGCAATAATTCGTCAAAAGAACATGTTCAGAAAGCCAGAGTTGTGGCAGCGGCAGGTAGAGGAGGGCGTGGGGGGTATGGCATGGCGGGGTAAGGCAAGGCAGGGGGATGGCATGGCAGGGCATGGCATGACAGGACATAGCATGGCAGGGCAGGGAGCGTGGCATGGCGGGGCAGGGAGAGTGGCATGGCATTGCGGGGCGGGGCATGGTGGGGCATGGTATGGCGGGGCATGGTGGGGCATGGCATGGCATGGCGGGGCATGGCATGGCATGGCGGGGCATGGAGGGGCGGGCACGGACTCCATGGCGTAGATGAGGCCGCCGTTGGGCCCGAGATTGAGCTCCTCCATCACGTCCTCCAGCGCCACCAGCTCCCTCACGTCTGCACACGCCATGCACGCACACGCAGGGGGGCGTTGCGGGGGAGGTGCGGGGGGTGGGGATGTGGGCACGGGAAAAGATGGATGGGGAAGGAGAGAGTGAGGACGAGGAGTACGGGAGAGAGTGAGGGTGAAGGCACTTGGGTGGTGAGCACAAGGCGGGGAGAGGCCAAGAGCAGCGCGAGGCTGGCTGTGAGGTGCTTCACTGCTGGTGGCGCTGCTGCTGTGCTGGTGCAGCGTGAGAAGGGGTGCACGGAGAGGGGAGCGATGGGGTGTGCGAAGTCGCTCGGCCAGGTGCACACGGCGATGAAAGAGCGAGCGAGAGGGAAAAGGAGAGCGAGAGAGGGAGAGAGAGCGGGGCGCTGACCGATGGCGACGTTGTACTTGAACTCCTCAGCGGCGGGGTCGAGGTTGACCACGTGCGCACTGCGCCCCACGCTCTCACAGTGCTGCTGCACCGTCGCACAGTACGTGGACTGGCGCACGGCGGGCAGGGGGGCGAGGCGGACGGGAGAGGGGATGCGCGATTGGGGAGAGGGGAGTGAGAGAGGGGCGGGGGGAGAGAGGCGAGGGGAGAGGGGAGAGGAGAGAAGGGAGAGGGGAGAGGGGAGAGGAGAGAAGGGAGAGGGGAGAGGGGAGAGGGGAGAGGGGAGAGGGGCGAGGGGCGAGGGGAGAAGGGAAAGGGAGAGGCGAGAGGGGAGGGGGGAGAGGGAGAGGCGAGAGGGGAGGGGGGAGAGGGTGGGCTGAAGTGTGGAGCGGCGGAGAGCGAAAGCACGAATAAATGAGGGGAGAATAAGGAGGCGACGAGGCAAGGTACGCGTGAGGCGAGGCGTTGACTCAAAACGATCGAAGTGCGTCGACAGCAGGGCCTTCGACGGCCATGCGAAGGCCGCATGTGCGCGTCACTTGCATCGCTAATCGCTATCGCAGCACAAGGCGGGTGAAGGGAGCGCGCGTGTGGCGGCAGTCACCTTGCCGCTGCCCGCGGGGCCGATCACCAGCTGCGCGTATCGCACCATCGCGCCCGCCCGCGTCCCGCAACGCAGCAGTGCCTTGCGGCCGCGGCGGTGATGCGAAACGAGTTACGAGCGCAAGAAGCTGGGAAGCGCAAGCTGGCGCTGGTGGGTGGGCGCGACGGATGGAAACGAGTCCTCCACGGCGTGCACGCCGTTAACAACTTAGGTCAGGTCAATCGTATAAAGGAATTCCGTTCTAACTGCATCGCGTACAACCCGAACTTCCGGAAGTTACACGCCCAGGCCGATTTCCCGACTCTGAGACTACCTCGCCCTCGCTGACCAATCTGTGTCACCTCCCAGCTAAGGGTTCCTCGCCATGAGACTACGGTACTACTAGTGCAATTGAAAGAGTGAAGCTTGGATTTCATTGAAGGGGTAAAAGAATACAAGAATATTTTAACATCCTTACATCGAACCTGACTTCACCGTGCGCAATACTGTTCGTGGTCTTCGGCCGTTCTTCGCCTGTTAGGGTGTTCGAAAACTGAGCTAAACCATGCATCGATCGATGTACCGTCGGTTATGCATCTATATGCAGCCCCCTTGATTTTGTCCGAAATAACGTGCAGGGATACTAATTGACTAGAAGGATGAGATGAGTACAAGTACAAGGTCTAACCCTAAAGTGTTGTACTCAGTAGAAGCTACTCCACTACAGCCTACAGATATAGAAACATAGTTTGCCACACCCCCATAGCCAAAGTGGGGGATAG